GAAAAATTTTTCTAAATTTAAATTTAAACATTTTTCCAAGAAAAGTAGCCATAGTTTTTTGAACAAATTCGGCTTCTTTTGAAATCTGAGGGGGCAAAATTTCTTTCAATTTATTCATAGAATTATCATTAGTTCCTTTTTTAACCTTTGTTGTTTCGTTTTTCCTTTAAGAAAATTAGAATTTTTAATTAGATTATCGTAAAAATTTCACAAATTTCCCATTAAAAAATTTATGAGAAAATACCCTTTTTTCTCATTTTCCTTATAATGAACTTCCTCGGGTGTTACTGGCTCAGTTGTTGTTGCTGTTGTTGTTTCCTGTGTCGTCTCAGTCACTGTTGTCAAAACAAAAGAAGTCTTGGAAGTCTCGGCTAACAGTTTTTCATTTCGCAATTGTTGTGCCTGCTGTAAACGCTTCGAATATTCAGTTGACGCCAGAGCTGGACCGATAACCCAGCAATGGGAACAATTAATAAACATTAACAATAATAACAATAATTCCGATTGAATTATCATTTTTAAACAGAAAATACTCTTTAATTTTATTTAGTAATTATTTAAAAATAATAATTCTCTACTATAACCAACTAACACAGTTTCATTTGGCAATTGTTTTGATTAAAATACCTTAAGACTCCGCCTAAGGTAATTTGTTATTAAGGTACCACTATCCCAAACAAAATCCTTCATGGTCACTATAGATTACCTAGTCACTGTTTGCGATGTTCCCATAGAACGTGCTTCGATTCAAGTTATGATTATACGAATTTTTCGACAAACTTGGATTTATAAACGATAAGTTTTCCGTCTTAAAATGCAGTAAATACTACATAGTTTAGCAAAATACAGATTCTTTTCATTAGGATCTTAAAACTCTGGGCAAAATATTTTGCAGTCCTAACAAATTTTAGCTTAAAAGCGGAATGGATACTTTAGTGTTTCTCAGTAATAAATACTAAATTAATTAGCACATATTATAAAATTAATTTATTTATTAAAATAATTAATGGCATACCAATAAAAAATTTTAAATGATTTTACTAAACTGTTAATAAGCTAAATAAATTAAATAAGTGATTCATTTAACTAACATATAACCATATTTTCCATTTTTTATTCCCAACATTTTCAACACAAAATTATTAAAAAAAATTTTTAATGAATTATTATATGTATTTAATTAGAAAATTAATAACCGGAAGTTGAAAAAATTAAAAAATAATTGGAAATAAAAATAGATGCTAGCTAGTGATATAATTTTGTAGATAAAAATAATTTTTATTAGATGAATAGATTAATTTTAAAAGTTGATTTGAATTTTAACTTGCAAAAGAAAAATAATTTTTGTTAAATATCATTGATGATTCAAGTTTGACGAAACTCCGACTTTTTCCAAACTGAAATCCTGAAACACAACTCGAGAAATTTTAAGAATTCTACATGAAATACAACATTTTCCATGAAGTTTTTTTCCATTGGAGTAAGAGCTCTAGTCTCATTGATTTTAAAAATTCTAGAAGTTGATCCATGTTTGTTTATGAACTCCATCAAAATAGGTATGTTTAGACAGTTCGAAGCAGCCCTCGAGATAAGATAATAACCACAGAAACCCTGACTTCAACTATTTTTTGGCAAAAACCTCGACCTGAACCCCTAAGGATATATCCTGATACTTTCAATCCCGAAGTGTCGGGTGCTACCCTAAATTAACCATCAAACATTAGAATGCATTGAGATAATCTCTCATACAAAGATTAAAAAGGCTTTTTTGGGGGTCACTTTAGTACGTGGGTCCCGGAGTTAATATACAAATGTTATACCATTCGAAAGAGCTCGTCGAGCCGAGTTGAATGCCACAAGTTTTAGCCCGAGGAAAAATTTTTGGACCGAGATATAGGTCCCTGAAATTTGAAAAAGCATAGGGGGGACCAAGCACTTTTTTGGGGTGAAAAATTCGAAAATGCAAATGATACCTCATTCGAAAGAGCTCCTCAAGCTGAGTCGAATGACACCAAAATCAACGAAATCCGACTTGATTGGACCGAGATATAGACCTCTAAAAACCGAAGATCCAAAGGGGTGATTTTTGGAATAAAAAATTTTTTACACAAATAATAACTCATTCGAAAGAGCTCGACGAGCTGAGTTGAATGACACCAAAATCACCGTGATTGGACAAGATTAGACAAAGTTATGACACAAAAAACCTAAACCTATGTGGCGTCGGCGAGGCGCTTGTGCAAAACCCCGCGCTTCGCGCGGGGTTTTGCGGCACGCGCCTCGCGGGGAGTCTACGGGCGCTGGGTCTGGGCTCGTAACATAAACCTATTCCTAATTCCCTTGATCTGGTCGTATTTGGGCCTCTGTAGCAGCAAAAATCTCCACAGATGCCATAGGTAAGGAGCTAAAAGAAAAGATCATAACTTTGTCCAATCGAGTCGGATTTCGTTGATTTTGGTGTCATTCGACTCAGCTCGAGGAACTCTTTCGAATGAGTTATCATTTGCATTTTCGAATTTTTCACCCCAAAAACGTGCTTGGTCCCCCCTATGCTTTTTCAAATTTCAGGGACCTATATCTCGGTCCAAAAATTTTTCCTCGGGCTAAAACTTGTGGCATTCAACTCGGCTCGACGAGCTCTTTCGAATGGTATAACATTTGTATATTAACTCCGGGACCCACGTACTAAAGTACAGCCCTTTTTTGTTCAAATCCTTATTTTAAAAATTATTAATGTAAATCCTTTCGAAATTATCAAAAAATATCCTTATTAGTCATATTCTTAATTACTCATCAAATTATGAAACAATTAAAAATAAAATTTTATAAAAAAAATTTTAAGTCACTTAACCAATTTAGTTTATAAAAATAAATATAAAAATAAATAATTTCAACATCTGTTTAAACAATTAAAAATAATATATGGATTCATTCGTAAAATAAAATAAAAGGAAAATAATTAATATATTGAATTATTATTGTTCCTTAAAATCCTTAAAATAAATATTATTATATATTTTTTATAAAAAAAATAAATTTTTGCTTAAAATTGCTTTAATCCTCCTGCTCAGCTTACTACTAAAAATTATTTTGTCATCAAAATAATTAGATAATGATGTTATCAATTTTAATCATTTTATTTAATTTTTATTTCCTTTCCCTTGAACAGCAACAACAAAGACAAGTTACTAACAAATATGTTTATGTTTGTGGACAATATCCAAACAAATATCTCTCCTATGCACGTAATTAAAAAATATATTTTAAACTTAAATAGTAAAATTAATTATGTCATTATTGAGATACTTTTTAATAATATTGAGCAAGCAAACTTGACTCTAAAAATAATTATTCTTTAAATTTTTAAAATCTTCGTACAATGTTGTAAGGACCGCTTCCCATTAGCATAGTAGATAAAGCGAAGATGACACTAAATTAGTCGTTTGGTGAATAGTTGAGTGGTTAAAAACCTTGCATTGGAGAGCTTTCAGTATCAAGTCCACTCCAAACTTGTGCTATTTTCTGAGATGGCCTCGGCAGCTTTATTATATTTTCTTAAAAAATCGCCTTTAAAATATTCTATTTATTTATAAAGCCTGCCCCGAGGATGGACAAAAACAACAAATATGTTCACAACCAGGCTGGGTACTAATGAATATAAAATGTAGACAAGATTCTGACTGTCAACAAATTCAAAATGTTGGTATGTTGAATATTTTAATTTAAAGAAATTTTTAATTTAATTCAGCCAAATGTTACAGAGGTGAATGTTGTGCACCTCCTTCTTCTGGTAGTGGGGGTACAAATAAGGTAAAAGAGATTTTTTTAATAACTTTAATAAAATAATTTTCTTCTCAAACTCCAAAATTTATAAATAAAAAATGAATTAAAAATTTATTCGAAATATTATTTAAAATTTCAAAAAAATTTGATGCCTTTGCTTTTGAAATTCTCTTAAATAATTTTTAAAAAATTTTCTATAACAAAAGCCTCTAGCAGTGATTTCTCGGTTTTAAAAAATGAACAGTCCCGTATTTCCGTTCACATTGTTAATAAAATTTTGCCTCTTCATCACTTCCTGGTCCCGAAACCAAGAAAGAATTGGACTTTTTGGACTTTTTTTTTGGAATTGGATTTTTGGAGTTGGACTTTTTCTCTCAAAAAATTTAAAGGGAAACGACGTTCCTTATATTAAATGGGAAATGTGTGAAAATGGAGGTTATTTCACTGGAAGAAAATGTAGAGACACACAAGAATGCCTTAATAATCAACCAAATATACAACAAATTTGTCTAAATAATGAATGTTGTACTACTGGGGGAATTAGTGGTGGGGATGGGGGAGGAAATTTGAATCCAGCAGATGACAAGTACATATTTAAAATTTTGATTTGAAGGCGTAAAATTAAGATAAGGAGACTTTCCTATATCTAGCTTTGGCTTAAGAATTAAATTTATTATTATTAGTATTATGCGGGGGAGCTTACAAAGAAAGGATTAATGGGGAATTTTAAAGAAATGTGTGAAAAATCACGTGGGAGAGGGGGGAAGATATTATTTCCTCAAAAATAACAGTTTATTTTTCCTCCTTTGAGGGATGACTTTTCTCGGATTAAAAAAGAGCCTATATTGGTTTCATAAAACCTAGTCTTATCCGTGCTTCTTACAACCTCTTTAATTCCTTTAGTTTCTGATTCTAAAATAAATTTTAAACTAAAAGATGTTTGAGAAATGGAGGCCGTCGTCTTCGAGACAATGTTGGAGGTTGTATAAGGCATGCAGATTGTAATTCACTAGTTGGTAGACTTCCAGAACTTGCACAAATTGGAGATAACCAACAAATTTTGTGCCAACAAAAAAGTTGTTGTTTAATGCCTCGGACCTTGCCTATTGGATTTACTGATTGGGCACAGGCATTTTTTAAACTAATCAAAAAATCTTTGCTCAATTTACTAGGCTTGCCCCCAAAGTGGCGGGCGTTTTATAGGCCTTTTTTGTGAAATGGATCATCATGATTGTCAAACAACAACGGACAAAATTAGTCGAGTCCCGCAACGTGCAATTTGCGAGTTGCGGAGGTTAGTTAACAAATTTTGATTGTTAGCCTATTTTAACGTTAATTAGGTATTGTTGTGCACCACGTGACAAAACAATAGATCGCCAACGAAGAGACAATCTTGGGTGTAACATGGGCGACTTCCCTACAGGCAGTCGATGTGACCCCCAACGACCAAAATGTTTCGCGGGAGAGTATTGTGGCAATCAAGCAATTTGCTGTTTAAGGAGCAATTACGACAGAAGGCGCCCTCCAAGTCCATACTCTTCAGATGACTATCCAGATTATTCTGTTGGGAATCCAAGAGCGCCCGGTAGAATAGATAAAAAATATAGTTAAATAATTTTTAAGCTTTTTGCTATAATGGTCAACAATCTATAGTTCATTGTACTTCTAGCGATGATTGTAAACAATTAACTCAGGCATGTGTTAATGGCCTTTGTTGTACTCGAACAGGAGATGAGTGGAAAAGTAAGAAGTTTTGGAAATATTTTAAGAGGGTTCTTATTGTGATGAGTTGAATTTGTTGTGATGAGTTGAAAGATAGAGCGTCGAGAGACGCTGAGAGACGTCGACACTCTTTTGACTCCGCGTCACGTTGTTGACGACAACGTCACGTTTGTCGAAACGTCAATTATGATGACGTCACTTTGTTGAAGACGTCATTTTTGACTTAGATGTGCTTTTGACGACGCTTTTGACGACGACGCACGTTTGACGAGACGTCAATCTGACGACATCATTTTGATGAAGACGTTACACAACACCTTTGACGCGACTCCACATTTATGACGACGACTCACTTTTTTCGTCAACTCCCTTTTAATGACGACGGCACCTTTGTCGACATGCCACTTTCAACTACGTTACTTTGACATGATCCCAGACACTGAACAATTCCTACGTCCAAATTCATAGAGCTTATGAAGCCTAAATTTCCAGAGCCCATATTTCCGGAAAAAATTTAAGATAAAATTTAATTGCAGATTCTTGTGGTGGTGCAATGGCTGTTTCAATTTGTTTTGAGGATGGTTCATGCCCGGATAGACTAGTTCGTACCTCTTCAGATTATTGTTGTGAATGTCCATATGGACAGGCTGCAGGGAAATGTGCTCATGTTAATATAATTTTTAAGAAAATTTAAAAAAAAACGTAAAATTAAAGGGATGTCCTCCCAACTATTCATGTGATTATGGTGGAGAATATTGTTGCCCTAAATGTCCGCAAGGAGATAAACCCTATGGCTCTTGCTTTAACGGTGAATGTGCTACTGGATATATTTGCTCTGCCGGCAATATTTGTTGTAACAGAAAATAATTTGTTAAATTTTTTGCTAGTCCTTTTGTTAGTCTGATTTAGTGTTTTTAATTGTTGAATTTTCCTAAATTATTTTTAATTAATCTTTTTTGTTGGCTATATTTTTCAAAAAGCGCCCGAAAATAAAAGGCTTGTGGAAATCGAAAATTTGACCCACCGTACTTCTTAGCTATAGAATAGGGCTCTCTTTCTACATAATTTCGCAACTCAATTGGGCAAGAGTAAATTTTCAGGAAAGAAAATGATTAATCTTAATTAATTGAGTCTAAAACTCTGCCAAAATCAAAGTCATATTATTTCAAATCTTTTATTTTCATTAAATAATATGTAATAAAATTTTTTATTGTGTAAAATTTAATAAACGAAATAATTATTATTCTGAATAGCTTCCACTAGATTGAGGGCTAGCTGCTGCTGGTGGCCTAAAATTTTATTAAGAAATTGATAGTCAGATTAAAGAATGTTTTATTAGAATTTTACTTTTCACTTGCAGCCTCCCCTGCTGCATAAGGTTTAACCGATGGTGAAGCAGCTGCTGGCTGTTCACCCTCATATTTACTGGCAGGAACTGTTGTTTCGACTTTCTAAAACAACATATGTTAAGATATCACAAAAATATTTACAGAGATTTGTTCCATTGGTGCGTAGTCGGTCAATGCATGGTGTGACCCACCAGCTCTTCCACCTGGTGAAACCTCGCCTGTTCTTGGAGGACATGGGCAATATTCGGCTTAAAATAAGGAAGATACTAAATTTTATAGAGTTCATTTTACCATCAGATCCAGGAACTCCTTGCCCTCCTGCTCGACCAGGCTGTCCTGGTGGGCCAGGAACTCCAGGTCCTCCTGCTCGGCCAGGTTGACCAGCTGGACCAGGAGTGCCAGCGGGAGGAGATCTGCGAAAATTATTTTTGAATTTTTAATTTCTAGATTTTATCTTTAAACTTACGCTCCAGGCGATCCAAGTTGACCGGGTGAGCCAGGTGGTCCAGCAGGTCCTTTATGTCCAGGCTTTCCTTGTCCGCGCATTCCAGGTTTTCCGGGCGCTCCAGCTTCACCAGGTTGACCGGCAGCTCCAGCCGGTCCTTGATCCCCTGCAGGGCCTGGTGGGCCAAATCCACCATTTTGTCCCATTCTTCCGGGCATTCCAGGCTGAAAATGTTTGACATGTAATTTTATATCATAAATTATACTATTTCATTTTAAATTAAAATTATCCAAAAATTTAACCATTCCTGAAGAGCCAGGAGGCCCCATAGTTCCAACAGGACCCGGCAGGCCAGGTGCACCAGCTGGGCACTTAACACAGCCATTTTGTGTAGGATGGGAGGCTTCAGTCGGTGCACTATTAATTCCTGGTTTTCCATCTTGACCGTTCACTCCATCCTCCCCAGGAATACCAGGCTGGCCTTTTTGACCTTGAGGACCAGCCGGACAATTATTTGGTTGTCTTCCACAATTACATTGACCTTAATGAATTTTTAAAGTCAATTTATTCATCAGAAGCTTGCCTTTTTGTTCAGACGGTTTTTGTGGTTGTTGCTCATATTGTCGTCGAAATCTCTGTTTAAAATCATAACTGTTTGACTCTTCAATTAATTTATTCCAAGCATCATTAGCAATTCCATTAAAATCCTCCAAATCATTATGAATTTCAGAATAAAACGAATTTAAATCATTAAATAAAGAAATTATGACAAAAATTGAAGTAATTGTTATTATGGCACACAATGAAATTGTTGAGGAGATAAACACCTTTTCTGAACCGTTTTTCGTAATTATAGACATCGAAGTAAATGTTTTATGATTTTTCTTAATTCTAAGAAAATTTTTAAAATTAAATTAACTAGATTTAGAAAATTAATTTTCTAATTAAAATTATATTTTCGAGAAACAAATAAAATGTTTATCAAAGATTCAAAAAAATCTTTTAAAAGTTGCCTGAAAGACTAAAACCAGCTGCCCATTCTATTTCAGTTATGACCAGCTGCTTTTTTAGTATTAAAAATTCATGTTTCTACATACAAGATTAATAGATTTGCCTATCTAAAGCACGTTTAATTTAAAATTATCTACATTCGAAAATTTATACCACTCCATTATTTTTAATTTAACATTTTAACTGTAAAATTGTATTTGATTTTCTTGTAAGTTATCACTCCATAAGTGATCCCTGTGGATCCAGGAGTTTTATTTTATTGTTTCACATTTATTTATTTGTGTTCGATAAAGAAAAAGAATATTTTAAAAAACAGGATTGCTCCAAAAAATGTAGGATATTCCTGACCCTGAAATTCTCCGGAAATCGGGTTAGCCAGATCCCTGCTCTTTAGTATTCTAAGTACTTTAATTAACCAAATTCTATTATAATTTATTAAATATAGCTTGATATTAAGTAAATATATTTTTATTTTCATAATAAAAATAATTAAAAAAGATGTTTTGGTTCTTTTATATCCTTTATTTTCTGCGGGATGAAAGCTGAAAATAAAAATGTTGTAAGGAATTTGTGTCATTTTTTATATATTTTTGTGTGCACTTTTACTTTTCTCGCGAAGATTAATTAACTTTTTGATCACTAAAAATAATTAGGAAATTATTCTTTGTTATTTATAGAGTAGAATTATAATAATAAACTTGTTTGGAAGATAAATTGCTTAAAATTATTAATGATTTTATAAATTTATATAAGTATATTAGGGACCGGATTGAATTGAGATCTTGAAGAGATCTTGAACGAAAATCTCCCGTTATCGTGATTTTAGCTTTTTGCAGTTCACGAGACTTTCGAAAGCGAAGTTGGTAATTTTTACTTATTATAGATATGAAAATCTCAGTTATCGAGGAGGGAGAAAGGATGTATAAATTAATGGAATTAAGTTAAATTTTAGAAAAAATTTTGCAAGTTTTTAAACAGAAAACCAAGATTTGGTCAAAATTTAAATTATAACTTACGCTAATTCTTAGAAATTAAAAAAAATTAGTAAAAAGTGTATTTGCGTGTAATAAATTAAAGTAATACCGTATTTACTCAAATAATTACCCTCCCTCAAATAATTACCCCCTCCCTATTAATTACCCCCGCCAGCGAGAGATCGAAACAATAATTACCCTCCCTTAAATAATTACCCCCTATTTTTCTTAACTAATTTTAAAAATATTTATTAAAAATCAACTAATTTAATAATAAAGCATTTTACCGATCAATATCAAGAAATAAATCGAGACATTAAAAGGATTTAGGGAAAAAATCGAGGATTTGTGTGGATTAAGAGGGAACTCGAATGGATTAAGAGATTTTGTGCAGTGATGATGGGAGATTAAAAAGTTTTAAGGGTATAAACCTTATTTCTTCTAAGACTTATTCCTTATATCTCACCAAATCCTCTTAAATACCTTAAATCCTCGCTTTACTTTGTGCCTTTATATATTCCAAGACGGAAGTATTGCTGGTATATTACTATTTTGAGGACATTATATAGTATATTAAAAAAATAAATATTATATCTCCTAAATAGGAATTATACGTATTTGCTTAATTGTCCATGATGTCTTTATATATCCCAGGACGGAGGTATTGATGTTATGATACCGTTTTTGGAAAATATTAAGGAAATAAGAATGTTAAAACACAACTTTTTATCTCCACATTTGGTAACGTATTGTATATTCCTTTACATATGCCTATGTTAAAATAAAAATATAGAGGTCGAAATAATAATTGCCCTCTCTCAAATAATTACCCCCTCCCTATTAATTACCCCCGCCAGCAAGAGATCGAAACAATAATTACCCAGGGTAATTATTTCAGTAAATACGGTATGTATGTTTAAATAAACCTTTAAAGTGTATGAACCAGGGAAAGAGCGTCCCAGTGAACGAGCCGACGTTTTATTTTTTTGTTGGCTCGTTCCCTGGTGTGAATACGAATTTTGTTAAAATTATTATGCTAATTTTTAAAGTACAATTTTAAAATCACGCAATATTTCTTTAATTCTTTTTTCTATTTAAAACGTAGAAAAAATTAAATTTATGTACCTTAAAATTTAGTTCCAACATTATTATTCCATCAAAATGGACAACAAAAGTTTCTATAGCGTTAGTTTTTAATTTTTATTCTTATAATAAATACTCATTTAATTTAAGCCGTTTTATTCAAAATACAATGAGGAGGGATTTGTTCCTAAACTATTTTTTATTGCTTTAACTACCACACTTTTTTCTTTATTTATAATAATATCAAATTTTAGCCTTTGCTATATTTTTATTAAATATAGGTAAACTTTCTTTTTAATTTTGTCCTTGCGTTTTGCGTAATTTTTGACGAAAATACCGCAAAAAATGCAAAAATATACCTAATCTAAGGACAAGAAAAGTAGTTATTTGGCTTCTTGATTTACTGAAATTCTCAAAATTTCATCTGCGGTTTTAGAAGGAGGAGGCTCTTATCCAAATATCAATATTAGGCTCTGTTCTAGAGCCTAAATTCTCAGGTATCCCTCCTTATTCCCTGATATTCTAGGTATCCTCTCAAACTCATTGATATCTCCTTAATCCTCAAAAATCTTCCACTCTGAACCATCCGTAATTACATGGATCTGCTTAGTTCTTTTTAATCCCTCGAAATCCAAGGATATCAACAATACCTCCATTCTCACTTCCAAACACTTTTATCACAAAATTCATACGGCATTGGGCATTCGCTTAATCTTCTTAAAGTACCGTATACGAATCATTGAGAAATTCATAAGTTGAGATTCCTATTTTATACATAAATTAAATTTAAGGAAAAAATATGCTACACTAGGAAGCAATACAAGTACTTTGTTGTTTATTTATGCTTCTATTGAAATTTTATCTTACATAATTCGACTAATTTATTTTGTAAGAGTATCTATTGGCCTAAATTTTCTTCCAATTTGGTTTGCAAAATTTTATGTTGTATGTATGGAAATCACATATCGTTCGACTCATTTTATGTATATACTAATGAGTTTTGATCGTTTATTTGCTATATCTTTTCCCATATTGTAAGTTTAACTAAAAATTAAATAGGCTTGTGATAAAATGCATGTTGAGGATTATACAAAGTACATCTCTAAATTTGAAATAGTTATATTTTCTTGTTGATACCTATGTTGATAAGTTAAAATACCTAATCAGATACAAGACAATATTACTGACCTATTCATAAGGAACAATAACTGGGTAACAGATATGTGAATAGAATGTTGATAAGCCTGATACAAGTCGGGATTATCCTTTGTATGGTCCTTAGGCACCTTAAATTACTTTTCGCTACAAATTTTGCACCTTAATTAAAATATATTTTTCAGTTATAAAAGCTTTAACAAAAAATTCTATATCATGGGACATTTAACAACATTAATTATTTTCGATATATCAATCTTTTTAATTTTTATTATGCCAATATTCGAATATAAAAATGTATTATTGACTGGAAGTCCATCAGAGAATTTATTATTTCTTTCTTCGATCAATCCAGATGCTTCTTCTATTTCCTTAATAATTTTTGTTATATCTGCAATAATGTATTTAATTATTGGAATTCTAACTAAATACAAAACAGGTGTGCGGAAAATGTGTTCAATTCCTCGTTATTTCAATAAAGGGACAAGTAAAAAAACTGGAAAGTATATTCATTATTTGAAATAGGAGACGGAGATATATGATTTCCAGAAGACAAATCCACCAAACACAATTAAACGCAAATAAAATTATTTATCTAATAAAAATAATATAAGATATTAAAGGGATAGAGATAAATGAGTAGGTGATCATTTGGAATAGTCGGGCTGACTGCCAAGGAGTCAGGCCCGATGGAATAGAGATTTGTCAGCTTTGCATATAGAGGTCCCCCGATCTCAATCCAAATCAAACGGTATTCCCTATAATATCCCTCCAGCTCACTCGATATCCTTCCGATTCACCTTAACCCATGAAAATCTACCGATATAGCAAACGAAAATTTTGAGTTTTGGAAGATTCGAATATATTCGATCAAAATTCGGACCTATTTTGACATTTTTTTAATATATGAAATCATTTCTCAGCTCTTCGGACCTAAAATGACAGACTCCAGCAATAACAAATCTCTTATTCTAAGGAGTCCTTCCATATTCTTTTCTCAAAGACCATCTCGATCCTCCACTAAATTTAATAAATTTTCAGATTTGGACACTCCAACAATGAAGAAACTTTATCGTTCTCTTTCTTTAATAGTTTTTATTAATATT